CCATTTCTATATATTACCTCCACGCCTCCCCAATCTACGGTGCTAAATCATCGCAGTTTATTTAAGGGCTTGTTCCCAACATTCCCGTTTGCATGCAATATATCGCCAACTGATAGACAAACGCACAGCATATGGTTTTCGTGAGATGCAGATTGATGGAGATCATGAAGTTTTACAGTTGTCATAATACATTCATTCAAAAAATAATCTATTTCCTTGTGGTATATGACGCCGGATGTGATTGATGCTTGTTGGTGTGGCTGGTAATTTCGTTGTTGTTTGTATTGTCTTTATTGGGAAACCGTAACATTACTTTCTTGGATTTACCATAATATACATGTCTGGTGTCGGTGATGAAACAAAGACATTCACACTTCTGGAGCACCTAGTCATATCTTCCTTTTATATTTTCAGGAGTCTCTGTATAAATCTTTCTTTTATAATATTTGTCCTGGTTTCATCCGAATTTGATTTTGAATCAACATTTTGTTGACTTGTCGGTATTTTCGACTGTATTCAGTATCTTTTACCACAATAAAACTTTAGTGCCTTATAGTATATCACATCGCATCTTCTTAAATTCCTGATATCTGTGCTGTTGTAACAGTCATTAATCGCGATTGCTTGTTATTGCTGGCACAGATTCCAAAAGACTTCCGGTTTCCAAAAATAATATGGTTAGAATTAAAACAAATTCAGTAACTGTGGTAATTGGATATGATTTTCACAGCTTTAAGATTTTTTTTAAACAAAAGCAATCAGTATATATTTTGATATTAACATAATCTTCGACACAAAATTACAAAATATCAATCATATGATTCCAAAACTGACAATGTCAGTTGTCATGTTAGACCAGTGTCTCATTTCCCCCTCCAGTTATCTGTTTCCGTGTTTTGGATCGCCAAGCTTTAATCAAATGTCCCATTTGACAGATTCCTACAATCTCGAATTTTGACCACAGAATATGCTTAAAATGAATCCGTAAACAGATAAAAGACGACCAGTTTGGGCATCAAGTTTAACAAGAACATCATTAGTAGTGTCATATATGACATTGACTGTTATAGTAATAAAACACATCAATAAATCGTTAGAAAAGAAATTCACTCGTTCAAATCATGCCGATAACATTGCCATTCAGTTAATACACAGATGGAAATTTGAGTTATCTTTCTTGGATAAGAATGCTGAAGGTACACAAAAATTTTATTCAGTTAATACACAAAAGGAAATTTGAGTTATCTTTCTTGGATAAGAATGCTGAAGGTACATAAAAATTTTACGCATAGGTAGCAAATATTAATGAAAAAATAAACCTCACACATTCATACAAAACCTTTTTATTGTGAACATGGTAAATAACGGCGAAGTTTAGACTCAGTTATTTAATGAACATTTCAATTAAAAGCAAAACGTGTCATACATTGAAAACAGACATCTACAAATACAGAATTACCGCATTACAAGTTAATATTTACAAGCATTTGATGAACATTAAGTATTTTTCTTAATGATAGAGATTGTATTCATATATAATATGTTATAACGAGTCATTATTGCACTGGTTGTATATAGATTATAAACGTCGTAAATGCTATATTGAAAATATACCTATTTTTAAGTATGATACTTTGAATATTATTTTTACTAACTTTAAACAAAATTATTACTAAAAATTGTAGACCCAGTCAACTCAAACCAAATTTGCAGCCAAAAGTATAACCTTCAAAATTTCGAACCCTTTTGAGATAAAAGTACGTTATAGTAAGGTTTCGTAAGATATTGATATAGATATCTAAACATAGTTGACCATACGTCAATAGGTATACATTTTTGCTTATTAGATTCGACAGTTTTTATGGCTCATTTGGAAATTGATGGCATCCTTATTTAGTTAAATGTTATTTAAAAAAATGTTTTACCATGATGTCGCTTTAAATGGAATCCATATAACATCGACACAATTACAATACCTGCTGACGACAAAAATCTATCTATGCCTGAGATATTGTACTATTCCTAATGAGACGCATGCCGTCTTCTATATTAGTATGTATGGCGTCAGGGAATTGTAATCTAGTTATTACACGGTACTGATGGTGAATTGGTTAGCGAGAAGCTTCTTGTGGGTTGTCTCACATATATTGATGACAAGGCTGTTGATAAAGCAGCAAAGACCAAGTAAACAATGAACGGGAATGAAGTCTTTCTCCGCCGTTACGATATTCTTTCTAGTTATACTGAATGAAGTAGACAGTAAGAAGTAGCAACTGACTTTGTGATCAACTGAAGGTATGTGTTAATGGATACAGTTGTACATTTGTGAATACGCTGACAAATAAAAACTAGATACAAGCATTTGATCGATGTTCTGCATTACATGTAAGCTTTCTTAGCCAGGTTACGCACGAGAGTGGAGATATTTTACCAGCTTCACAAAGTAAATAAGAAACTCAGCTATAACCATTATTATGGGCGAATCAATAAAGATAAATTAACAATAATAAATTATCGTGAAATATCTTTTCGTTATTTATGCATTTATTCACCAACAGATCTATAAAAATATGATTTGATAAAGCTAAAGCTTCATATATCATTTTTAGATTAAGAAATACACAATTGTATTGTGTACAAATCTTCTGACATTGTTGAAACGTCTTCGAAATGAACAACTAGTTGTTTTACAAAACCTTCATTAATGGTAATTACTTTAAACAAAAAATACTATATATGATTTCTCTTCTTGCATTTGATCTTGTCGATATGAACAGACAATGGTCAGCAGGCATACATATTGACCTGGTATTATGTAAAAACAACCTAGATGTGAGCACTCCTATGGTTACACTTTCATGTTTAACTATCCGAGAACAAACATATTAACAATGATTATCTAGATTATGTCACACTAAATATCAAAAGCAACCCGAAAGGCAACTTGTATAAATGCAGACAACTTTGTGTAAATATTAATGACAACATAGGTCAAATATGTATGATATTTTACTGAATATTAGGTAATCAGTTCTATTCATCAAGCTTTCGTGAAGGATTCTGAAAAATGAGTTATGTAAAGTAAAATAATCCATTTATAAATGGTCATATGTTTTCCCAGTGTTTATTTGAATTGCGTGATATTTGATTGATGATAGTACCATGAATAAGCCCTCATTATATCTGTGTAGATACATATATGTGTGTGCGTATGTATGTGTGAGGGTGTGTGTGTGTGTGTGTGTGTGTGTGTGTGTGTGTGTGTGTGTGTGTGTGTGTGGATAACGCATGGCACAGATAAACGTGATTTTAGAAGTGAGTGACGGCGTGATTTCAAGCCTTATACATGTGTATTATATCTTCTGCATGCTCTGAATTCATAAGTACTTTGACAAAATCATAAGTCGTTGGCCTGTCGATTCAGTCCTTGATTACCATACTAGCAGCTGTCGAAACAATATTCATGTATTCCTTCTCGATATAAATTAAAGAGAACTGGTGTGATAGCCCAAGGAAAATGCAGTCGTCAAATATGAATATTCCACGTACGTGTCAACGCAACACACTATCTTGGCTTAATAACACTGCGAGATATGCTATCAAAACCAAACGCATGCCTATATTTGTTTCTTGCATGATCAAAATATTCTCAGCTGAACCACATAGAATAAGCAACATCATCATTTGGAAAATGTCATCCTTTCTCATTGCACAATAAAATGATATTCAAAGCACGAATCCAACTTCCTTGCACAAACAAATTTAATTTTGCGAATTTGCCGTAAGAAATCATCAACGACAGTGCTTTTGAGTAATCGAAATTCCGTGGAATTTCCCTTAGTTTCGATTGCATTGAAATCAAGGTTACGCCTTCTTTTTAAATGAGCTCTTTGATTGCTGAACGGATAACAACATCCTTCACACTTCTCAGTTAATGAGAGAAACCCCTTGTTTGATATTGAAATAGTGGAGTGTTAACTCATGTAGTATATATTGTAAACATTCAACATTACAAAATGCCATTTGTATTTCATTTATGATGTGTCTTAAATGTACAAAAATGTATGCTATTTACAAAACAAAAAGCAATAAACACACATTTTTTTTGTGTTTGCATTTGTCCTCAAATGGAAAGGAATATTTTATTCTTCTTCATAATATTCTTGAACTAATTCTATTCCAGTAAAAAAAAATGCGAAGTTTTACCCAAGTGAACTCGTGATTTCAGTGACTCTACTATAATGGTCAACGAGGTTTATATTACTGAATAAGAACCATATCGTACAATAACCTAATGCCTCTTCTTTCCCAGCAATAATAAATAACTTTTTTCCAAATTTGACTTTATGTGATCAACATGAAATACATAATTGGCTAGTTTGTTTTTAGTTTTTTAAATTCTGATATAGAAATAGAGTCATCTCTGCACAATACTGTACCCCAATTGTTTACCATGTTTAGGTAAACATTATTATTACCGAATAGAAAATTTAAAAGTATTTTGGTCTTCTTTTATATAATGGGATATATTTGTTATTGAATTAAATCCGTTTATATCCTACCTAATACATTCTAAAGAATTCTTCGGGATAAAATCTATGAAAAGTTTGATTTGCGTTTCAGTTTCGAAAATTGACATATGACATTTCAGAAGATTTATAAGAACAAACAATGTCATCTGATAATAATCCAGCTTGATAACTTCTGACACAGGAAACATACACCTTTAACATCACACCATGTAAATTGACATAACAGTAATATGATATGTAAAAGAAACCGATTTCATTGGGGATTTAGTATAATGGAATATTGCAAATTTATGCAAATAGATATAGACATGACCTCCTTATAAAGGAAATATCTCAAATTCCAACGAAGTTTACTTCAAATAAACTCCATCTTCAAGAAGAAATCTTTATGTCGCACAGGAAGCAGAACCAAATGATCTCAATCCATTTTCGTTTCGTTCTTTTCTCTCACTTGAAAGAAGCAGTCCGTCAAAATTCATCATCTGATGAGTTTGTGAGAAGAATGACTTGGTCATTTTGATTTGAGTATCTCTGTAAAAAAATCATAATATGAAATTAAATTATATGAGACACGAATTTATCTTTCCATATTAAAATCAAGAAACGAAGCAAAAGATTTTTTTTATGAATCAGATATTGCAATGCCATCAATCTGTAGCGTGTGATATATAGACAAGTAATGCAAACGAGATATAGATGATTGAAATTAACGACGCAATTGTTTTCCTTTATTTTCAATAAAACTGGGTTTTTTCTGATCCAAAACTATTTTAAAAACTCTGATTTGCTCTCATTCTGTTACAACTGACAGAAAATAAAAGTAGATATAATTGCTTTTCGTGATATTGTTTAAAGTTAAGTTTTCCCTCTGGCATTCAAGAGACACTCATATGACTAAAAAGCAGGTTACAAATTGATATGGGATACAGAAGAGACCTTTTTTTGTTCATTCGCAACAATTTATCTATTTTGCGTAGGTAAGATAAATTTGCATTTTTTATTTTACTTGCAGTTGGCAACATACAAAACAACTTATTTCTTAAACTGCTTCCTTTTAGAGTTTTATCTTATTTCTTAACGGTGCAACGGGTCTCATTTTACAAATAACTATAACGGGGTTACTATATGGAAACATACTAATTCTTATGATGGTAGATTTTCAAAATAGAAACAAGAAAATACCATCATGTCAACATAAACATAATCTAAATTTAAATTCAATAAAACTAGGGCAAAATGTGAACAAAATAAAGATTTACACGGAAACTAAAAAAGTACAAGGAGAATAAGGCCAGTTGTTCCGAAAGAGTAAGCGTCTTCTGCTTCATCGACAACTCCCGCCATGTAAAATTTGGTCAATCCAAGTAAGGAATGTCACGTTCTCAAGTGAGAACAAGGTATACAACAACAGAACAAATAGGCTAACCAAGGAGCATTAAATACCTATAGCTTCATATCGCAATAAGAAAAAGAATATGAAATCACTATGGTGACCGTGAAAGTCTACGCTTGATTATCAATTATCGCTGTTCCATTAAGTTGACTGATTTTCAAACTTGTTGGATAAAGGCTCTATCTACTTTCGCTTTTATCCCAATTTGAATATTTACAGTGACTTTACCATAAAAAATGAGACTGCATTGGATTCTTTTGACAACACTACAGCATTTCATTCCTTTAATGTTCCTATTTCTTCCTGTTAAAGCAACTCCCCATCTAGATTTTGGGATTTCTTTCAATTTTTGTTTTCTTCAGTCGCTTCCTTTGTTTCAAAGTTTTAGTCCTTGGTATCACAAGTCCTAGAAAGACGAAGCATTTGCTTGCTGCAGTATAATACATTATCTGGCTCTAGTTGTATGATGTGTAATTTCTATTTGAAGGTTTTATTGATACGTGTGCATTTTGTACAATCCTCCATACGTAACCAGAACCATTATTTTGACTAGTCATTTTTTGCTGTGACTTGATGTAGGACCCACAAATGAATATTGATTTATGAAATCTTATGTCTTTCGGTCTTATTGATTCTAGTTATATTTCTTAACAAAACTACAAAAAATACAAAACTGCGGCACTTAGAGATAAAATGGATTTTAAAATCATTTAGGTTATCTGTAAGATGAAGGATAACTGAAATACAGATTCCAATAATTGACAAACCATTTGAACAATATATAAATAGAGCAAGAAAAATCGATGTTAGAATTTGTTGGATGTTCATTCTTCTGACGTTTTCGATATCATCTTTTTTCGCGTTGCCAATAACGCTCCGTTTGTTCAGCATGATGAATGTCTATAAGAGCTATGAATCATAACCATAACTTATACAGATTGGCCAGTGCGACACAGAAAATATGAAACCAGATAATGACGAGGAGATTCAGAGTTTAATCAATAATCATCAACACAGAGTTGATATTTGATATGTTTATATAGAACCAAGCAGAAAAATATCTTTGATGAATCGTAAACTGCGGTCCCAGCGGAAGTAATTTTTGTTTTGTATTTCAAACATCATTAGTCATATCAAATATGATTCCAATAAGGGAAGGATTTCTCAAAATAGCATTATATCGTTTTATGTTGACATTTTCAGCATAAAACAATAAACAAAAGACTGTAAGAATCTGTTTCAAAACGTTAATGGCTGTAGCTTAGGGTTCTGTGATATATACCTTCTGAATGGTTTCTCGGATTTCTTGCATTTTCCTCTCGTGCCGGTGACAGAAGCGAACCACATACGCCATGGAAATGATGCACACGGCACCAATAATGCCTATTCCAATGGGAACAAGGACTGTTATCAAGTATTTCTTGTCCTGAGGATGTTGAAAAAGTCAACAAATTAGATAAAGAAACACAGATATATAGGCGGGAGACGAACGGGAAAATATCGTTATTGAATTTTATTTCTGCTTTTTCTTATCATGCTGCGCATCCGAAATTCGGTCAATGTAAATGAATGGATCTGGAACACTAGTGCCTTTTGACATCATCAATTGTAAGGCTAAATTTAATCGAATTCTAGGGAGTGTCAGATGATTGATTTGTCGATATGCAATTATCAGCAGTGTGTAATTAGATAACCTATTGAGGAACCGTGGTGAGACTTTCTTATCTACCTTAGGAAATCCTTTGTTTAAATAAATTACCTCCAAAATAATGTAACAAACGTTATTTATGGATCGGGGTTAGTTGTTATTGTATTACTTGTTATTTACGAGGATTGATGTAAAAGTGAATGATAAAATACTTCAAGAATTACAGAAATAACAAAAAGCCAATTGTCGACTGCAGCGTAAAATAGTTTCTTTTTCCTTCTTGCTTTTGTTAGACGCAAAATATAAAAATCCGCTTACAATATAAAAGTGTTTGAGCAGTCCTCTAGTGCACCAGTGGAAATTACCTATACCTAACGGAATAGGTCCGAGTGTCCATGATCCCATACATAACTCTTCCGTCGTTACTTTGGATGAATGCAACAAACATATCGCAAGCAAGAATTATACGTTAATCTCAGTTTAGTTAAATTTCACTAAAGACGATGATGATGCCATATGATAAAACAGAATGCGTAGAGAATAGACGTATACACAACTTCAAATTCATTTCAACGATAAAAAATGTTCATGTATATCAACGTCTAGAATGTCATAAAGGTACCAATCATATAGAGTATTTCTATTTTGACTTAAAAGAAGCCGGTTGCGTGAATTTACAGTAAAACTTCGGTTGGAAAGATATACTAGTAAAGTAATCAATATCAGCATTTTCTCTCTCTTTTTTTTTAAAAAAATATTTTTCAAAATGTTGCATGATACATAAAATAACGAGACAAGACACATATACCAACATACACACATCGTCATAATTATGTCATCATCGAACAACCATCAATACATCATCATCATCATCATCATCATCATCATCATCATCATCATTTTTATGTACGCTTTAATCATCAACACCATCAATCATTCATACACACACCCCACAAACATTCACACACACAATATAAGCATTTTTCATTCTCATATACAGTGCAAAAATAGTTTGTTCAGGTAACTCAATTATTTTTCAAACATCTCCTAACGGTTTTTGATAAGATTTTATAAAAAATAAGCAACACCTTGGATATTGTCATCGAATTATTTAGAAGTGCAATAACAATGTGACATATTACCGTTTAGATATATAAACAGCTATATTAATTAAAGTTATATAGATACAACCAAGCGGTTCTATGTTAGGTTTGGGGTAAATGACAGGCTTTATTACATGACCGATAGTCATTTCTTGGTCGCTGAACCCCATATTCTCCTAATTACACAAAATCCATAGCACTCCAACATCTAATTAACATACAGGGGTGATTAGAAGGGAATTAGAGATGTCGCTATTTATTAGGAAATGCTGTGGAATACTTACGCGTAGATTAGCTTATCAGCGACACAACCTGTTGCACGACTGGCGATATCGTGGCAGGCAACAATTAATTCAGTCGTAATTAGAAGTGGAAATAATTCTACCAACACGAATACTCAATACTTGGCACACCAGAGTAAACGTTATGGCATGAAAAATGGTTTTCTGTAAATATTCTTGTGGGCACATTTTAATCATCATTTGTTCTGTTGCATTCGTTTTAAAACATTAAGTTAAAATATTCATGTTTTTCATGTTCATAATTGCCTGCATGGATCATTGTTTCTTTTATCTACATAGTTTTTTTTCCTTTTTGTTTCAAATTGACGCGAATAGGAGTTAATTTGAACAATTCACTTGCTATATAGTGTTATATTTAATGAATCTCAATTGAAATGAAAGGTATACACTAAGCGAATTCTCCAGAACTAACAAATGCATTTGTAATATTATACGGCCGTGTTATGTGTTTATAAAAAACTGCTGAAAGATAAGTATTCACTGAGCGAATTATCCAGTTAACAACTAAAATTTGTAAAATTATACGGCCGTGTGATGTGTTTATAAAACACTGCTGAACGATTTGACCAAAAAATAAGGAAAAGTTCTAAAGCAAGAAATGAAAATAAAACCATGATTCTAGAGATATATGTTAGGCAAAAGATGTGTGTCTTAATCATATACTGTAAATCACTTAATTTTTGCAAGTTTGTTTGCGATCGGCTTCATTCCCGTATTCAAATCCATCGCGAATATACTTTTACTAATATTGTCCTTAAATAAATTACTTTTGTAGTGTGGTATCTGTTAAACCATGTATTCGTGAATAAGACAGTCACTTAAAATAATTCATAGTATAAAGAGCATAGAATCGAATGCTGATATATAGGTTAACACAAAAACCATTTAATATGGTTGAGTTAGACTTATACCTTTAATAGCCACATAGAAATTCATGTCACACAAAGACCAATTTCTTGAAGGATACATACTATTCTCCCCTTCATTTGGAAAACCAATATTCATTCAAGCCTTTGTTGTGGCGCCCATGACAATATTACATTTGACACAAACATTTTAAAAGCAATTTGGTTCTTTTGTGCTAAAGTGGGAATTTCCATAGAAATTGATTAAAATTGAAAATCACCATTCAAAATTTCATTTTCTGAGCCTAACATGTAAGGATTCCAGTGCAGTCGTTCATTTCAAAGGATTGTTTTATTCATTTTTTATGTTTTCACTCAGTACGGGAAATAATCATTGAAATGGGTGCACATCACAGGAGTTTAAGATATAGAACATACCTTCCAAATAAGACTTCCAAATGGTCCATCTTCTATTGGAACTGAAAACAGAAGCACAAAAGGATTGTAAGAAGACTTGTAAGAATTTAGATAAGACACAGTAGAGCCAAACAATTAATTGAACGGCATCATAGAGATGCTGGTCTCTAGTGATACTAAGGGCCTAAATTTTAAACCGAGGAGGCGATTGAGAAAATGTTAAGTGTTCGAACGAAATGTCCAAATATATATTGAAAGGTGCACGTGTTACATATCCAATTATGTCTTCTTTTTAGCGATTCGCTTATATTGATAAAACACGAAATATCAAACTTCTCACAATACATGGTGATTATTTGTTGAATATATTTTTGTTACATTCTTATATACGTAAAGTATATGGATATAGCATTCTTCCCTCACAAATCAAGAACAAGGATTTAAGATTGAGTTGTTTTAATATATAACATACAAAGAAAGATGACGTATCGAACAACTATCAGTAATGTTTTTTTCGGGTTCAATAGTCATTTTTCCCATTATAATACACAAAGAACGGTATTATGAATCATATCTGTTGATTCATTACGAATATGTGAGTGTTGAACATATAAATATGATTGTGAAAACCAGGCAAATCAGAAGACTTAAACATTTTTTTTATATACAAATGATGTGATTTAAGAATTTGTAATACATCACGTGCCTGTCTACTCATGCATCACAGATAAATACCGCGACGTCAATAAAAGAAGATAACAATGCGATTACTGTTAAAATCACACCAATCAAATGTTTGTTTGCTATGACCATTCATAAGAAGCTTTTATGAGACGTTGACTTACACGAAACAACAAAGAAAATATTCACATGTTAAAGAAAACGTCAGTTGTGCACAGAGTTGGATATAGGATATTTAACGAGTTTTCATTGCACGTGAAATTTTATGAAACTAGACTTTTGAATTTCTATTTTCGAATTTTAGAATGACAAATGAAAACAAACAAAAACTATTTTTATGTTACATAATTCAGAAAAAAACCCATTTTAACAGTTTTTATGTTAAAATTGTGAAGAATCATTTAAAAGGAATCTTCCGTTTTACGGCGCCATTTCTTAAATCATGACGTAACGTCAAAGTCTATATTATGACATTATAATCCAAGGTAGATTACCACGAATTACTTACAATTCCAGCAACATTTGGACCAGAAGATAAACGAAATATGACCAATATTTATGATGATGATTCAAAATATCGATCAAACGACAGGAATTTGGAATAATGATAAACAGAACCAATAAGAGGAACAAAGGCACAAAGTTGAAAGAAATTCAATAGACATTGGTTAATCACCAGCGATAAGAGCTATGCCAGACCGCAATAAGCTCTCAGCTATCAAGATACAAGAACTATGGTAGGATAAACAGAAAAGGCACGCTTCTGTTTGTAATCATTAGTAAACAAATCTTAATTATTTCTGATGTCAAGCTTTTCTCTTATGATGCAATGCGATAATAAATTACAAAGGAGAAAAAAAAATCTTAAATAACAAAAATTCTCAGGCTTAATCAAGTAAAAAGATTTGCTATATCAGGAAGTGAAGTGAACACGCATACTGACGGATGACTAATTCATATATCTAGGAGTAAAGCTGATCTCAATTTGATTAGACCGATCTGTTTCGGAATTTAATCAAGGTCGAAAACATTTATTATGTAAAACCGCTTGCCATTTACGTGGTTGCGTATGCTGATAATTTTGTTGTCTTGATAGGAATTTTTCAATTGCTGATTCATTCATCCTACGTCAGATTCCGAAAACAGATCTCACCTCTCCCCGTTTCATCCATTATTCCTATCCTTCTATACTCGTATCCTTGAGACTTTCTACAGACTATATTTTATGTGTCTAATTCTGCAAAGAAAATGTTTCAATGGTTTTCTTTTCTCAGACATTTTAAACGTGCCGGAAAGGTTTTCACTTTAAGTACATGTAATTATCGAAAATGACACGTACATGTTTTTAAAATTTCATTTTTCATTTCATTCGAATATAGCATCAAATTATCTTTTACAAAATCGTTGCAAATCGTCTTAAAATATATCCTAGATGAAGTAATTTACAAATCGTTTCTTAGTTTTTGATTGCCAACGTAAATGATCCGAGCACTCTTTTAAATGTATCTAAGCTTCTTGCAAATACTATCGTAAATGATTTATCGTTTATCCAAAAGTTATTTCTCTCATATAGCAGCAAATGCTTAAAACTTTTCTTCTGTATCCAAAATGATTTGTTAAATTTCAGTTACGTTGTTGTTAAGGGTTTGTACTGTATTTATATAGCATCAAAGTATTTTTGTCAAAATATCCCGGGTACCACAAAAAAACTATATGAAGATGTTGATTGTAACATCACATTTAAGAGTATCAAAACTTTGAATAGAGTTTAAGGACGTTTTCTATATCCACCAAATTGCATGTTTTATCATTAGTGAATTAACTAATGATCATAGCCTTTCCTTATAGAAATCTACACGTTTCTTAGTCTGAAAGCTTAAATGTCACAGTAAGCTAATGTGGAGTTTTTTGTGATTGATTTACGTTCTTTCGTCTGTTGCAATATAGACCTGGCTTCTGGTCGCAGACGCCACGATAATGACCTGATTGTCACGTATATTACACATTGGGACGAACAGCTGTCACTAAGACTGCCATCGAGTATTCTTTTTCCTTGAAATTTCGAAGATAGTAATTATAATCATCATGGTACAGTAATGGTTAATGTTCATTAATTTCTGTGATGTAAGAATTTTCTTTTAACTGCTCCAAAAAGCACTCAAGACTTTACATCAGCATCAGATTCCAATACTATGTAATTGAGTTGTTCGTAATTAGCATCCTTGAAGAACTGCAAATACGTCATATGGATTCAATTCCTTGATGTCAAATATCCTTTTTTTTTCCATATTCGGCGACCAAAAAAAAAAAAAAAAACGGCAACAACACTGAATCACCCTGAACACATTAATATACAATCACATTAGCTCAATTAACATCTCGAGGTCTTCACTGACACAAAAAACAAACAAATGTAATTTCTTTTGCATCTAAGAAGGCAGCGAATGCATTTTCCATTTAAATTTCCAATATTTCATCCATTTTTTTTTCTAAAATCGAAACTTTCGTTATCACTTGATTTGAATATCATTTCGCAACAAAATTAAACTGTCAGTTACTGTTTGTTTAATTTTTATAACCAACTAACGACGATAAATTTTGGTCTCCTTGTTCAATGACAAATGTCTTCGTACGGATTTTCTGCGAATGAAACAAAAATCAATGCAGTAGCTATATTGCTTTGATAATTTATATTCCAGTAAAGAATTAATGTCTGTCGCCATATCAGAAACTCCTTGACGTTGGTTGTTTGTTCAGGACAACTACCATATTGTGCTTCTCAGTCTAGAAGTTTAAAATCGTCTGTGGAAAAGGTGTTGGAACAATTATCTGAAGACGTGGCGTCTCCACAAAAAAAAAAAAAAAAAAAACGCTTTCCAAATTTGAATATTTCCGAAAGCCATTACAAATCCTGTTATTTATTTACCTATATCAACCGATTTATTCGATTTTGTGAAGAGGAATTGGAAAAAGTATCAACACTTTTTCGATATCCCGGCCAAAAACAAATAAATTTAACAGCACTTTTTTCCTGCCTGAAGGACAACCGTTATCTTCCTGAGACAAACACATTTAATTTCAAAGTCAGCTTCATCTGGACTCTTTGTGTGAGAGATTTCATAACTGTGAGATCAGCTACGAGCCATTAATAAGTAGTCTTAAGAAACAGATGTCTTGAAGTAAGCATGAACAACTTAATTACAATTTCAAATCTTTAAAAAGGTATATAAGGTGTGGTAAAAATTTTGAGTTTCAAAATAAATTTTGTAAGTTAAATAAATGACAACACAAGGAAAATACAGTACATCACGCAAATACATGAGTTTGCGGAGGAAAATCAACATTTGTGAAAAACATCACAAATCTAAAACTTATTTTAACGATCTGCTCTCTGTCTAACCGGACGTGGACCGTTGTCATCAGAAAGTCATAGGGTTAAGAGCACGAACTCCAGCTGGTAGTTCGTGTTTCCTGATGCTCAACCTGACGTGTACAAGGCTGTACGAAATCGCTCAAATGTCATTCATCCATGATTGACGTCATCTACTGTGAGTTTAAAGTAACTATTATTGACGTTCATTACTAGCCTTTTTTTGTTCATTTGTAAACGTGAATAGTTAGCTTTTTAAGAGGCATTCCAAATTGCGCTAGAAATGGAGTTGATATGTGATTTGTGACATAAATAACAGTCTTTAGTTGATGACGTCACTCAGTCACCGCTCTGCCCTTATATCAACACAAATAATTCCTTGTGTTCCAGATCTGTGTCGATGTAATTAGGTCGCAGTGTACAGACACTTGATTGCTTTCAATCAGTTCCCAAATGAAGCAAACAATTGGTTCTTTATAACAAATTTCTTGCCGAATGTTTAATGAACTATATTTAATATAATTAAAATGGAACTAATGCCCTATCTTATTTGTGCATTTAACTGTTTACAGTTGGCATTCATAAGCTCATGAATACCATCTGAACTCAGATCAGTGCTAATATTTATTCATTTATTGCTTTGTTCGATTTTTTTTTTTTAGTTTTTTTCCTCATTTTTCGCGGGTGTGTGTGGGGAGGGGGGGGGGGTAGGGTAGAGGTGTGAGGTGTGTGTGTGTGGGGGGGGGGGGAATTTCCTGCGTCCAGCTTAGAAATGATACATTAACTTAAATCTAAAATGTATCAACAAATATTCATACTGTTATCAAAACACCAAGTCTAGTATTTTATCTCCTCGAGAGTATTTGCGTGCCAAGGAAGAAGAAAAAGTTTCAAAGCTAATTAGATGATATAAAAACCTATAAGATGGTATGATTGTACAACTGAGAAAAAGAATTTCATAAAAATACTTCTAATTTGATTGTTCGTCGTTGAACTGGAGAATCTAATGAT